AGCAAAATTTAGCAAACACAGGGTACAGATTGTCCTAGAAGTAGACCCTATTCATAAGGAGCTTACAAAGTAGTGAGGAAACAAGATGGCCAGGGCAATGGCCCCCATATTTACTGAGAATTTATACTTTAAGAAATGGAAATTTGAAGAATATTTCTGTGTTTCTTATGAAATTAAAAAGACAGTTCTAACCTTTATATTGCTTAATATCATCTCTACCCAAAGTCTCTCAATATATTTTTTTGTTCAGTGCTTGGAATAAGTCTCTCTGATATGCTTCCTTGAGTAAGAACATGTCCACAACCCATAATCCACAATTTAAAAAAAAAAATTTTGTGCCTAGATGGCTGCAAAACTCAGTTAAAACTTGTGCTTAATTAAAAGTAGCCTTCCTTAGCCTAGGTTTTCCTTGTGATTAGTTAGCATTTTTGTTTGTTTTACTTCTTGGTTAATGGCTTTGTAGTTTTGTTGTATGTGGGACTTTTGTAGTAAGGTGCCTCCAAATATAGAGATATAACAGAGAAAAACAAAATATCTTTAATTTCTACTCTACCCTAACAGCCTCCAGTTCTGATCTATGGCAGGTTGTTAGTACTTCGCCTAACAATGCTTAATCATTGTCATGGTTTGAATTATGTCCCCCAAAAATGTGTGTATCAATTTGCCTAGACCATGATTCCTGGTACTGCGTGATTTTCCAGTATGTTGTAAACCTGCCTCTATGATGTTAATGAGGGAGGATGGGTGGCAGTTGTGTTAGTAAGGCAGGACTCAGTCTACAAGATTGGATTGTATCCTGAGGCAACGTCTTGAGATATAAAAGACAGAAGTGAGCAGAGAGACAGGGGGACCTCATACCATCAAGAAAGCAGTGCCAGGAGCAAAGCGCATCCTTTGGACCGGGGTCCCTGTGCAGAGAAGCTCCTAGTCCAGGGGAACACTGAAGAGAAGAAGGCCGACAGAAAAAGACTTCCCCTGGAGCTGACGCCCTGAATTTGGACTTTTAGCCTACTTTAACTGTGAGGAAATAAACTTCTCTTCGTTAAAACCATCCATTTGTGTTTCTGTTATAGCAGTACTAGATGACTAAGACAATCATTTTTCCTGTGTTATGGATTGAATTCTGTCCCCCAAGAATGTGTATCATCTTGTCTAGGCGATGATTCCCAATACTGTGTGGGTTTTCCACCATTTTGCGATCTGGTGCAATTATCCTATGTGTTATAAATCCTAACCTCTATGATGTTAATAAGGCAGGATTAGAGGCAGTTATGTTAATGAGGCAGGGTTAGGTTGTGTCTTGAGTCAGTCTCTTTTGAGGTATGGGAGACAGAGTTGAGCGGGGGTTGGGGGGGGTGCGGGGTTCGTTACCATCTAGCAAGAAGAGCCAAGAGCAGAGCACATTCTTTAGACCCAGGGTCCCTGCATTGAGAAGCACCTAGACCAGGGGAAGATTGATGACAGGGACCTTCCCCCAGAGCTAATAGAGAGAGAAAGCCTTCCCCTGGAGCTGGTGCCCTAAATTCAGACTTCTAGCCTCCTAAACTGTGAGAGAATAAATTTCTGTTTGTTAAATCCATCCGCTTGTGATATTTCTGTTATAGCAGCAATAGATAACTAAGACACCATGCTGTATACAGATGTGTCTATCAATAAATGCATAGCATGCATAGCATAGCATGAGGATCAACCAGATGTTGAAATGCACACGTGTAGATATGTGCATTTTTTTTTAAAAAGGCAACAAATACGAAAATATTTTTGTGACATTCAAGATCCAACAAGCAATCCTTACATTGTTTTTTGCTGTAGTTTTTTTTTTTTTTTAAATTGTGCTTTAAGTGAAAGTTTACAGTTCACGTCTATTTCTCATACAAAAATTTATACCCACATTGCTGTGTGACCCTAGCTCCTCCCCTTATAATGTGACAGCACACTCCTCCTTTCCAGCCCGGATTTCCCGTGTCCACTCAACCAGTTCCTGTCCCTTTTTGCCTTCCCATCTTGCTTCCGGACAGGAGCTGCCCGTTTAGTCTCTTTTATCGACTTGAGCTAAGAAGCACTCTTTTCACAACTATCACTTTATGTCCCATAGTCCAGTCTAATCTTTGTCTGAAGAGTTGGCTTTGGGAATGGTTTTACTTCTGGGCTAACAGAGAGTCCGGGGCTATGTCTTCTGGGGTCCCTCCAGTCTCAGTCAGACTATTAAGTCTGATCTTTTCACTAGCATTTGAGTTCTGTACCCCACTTTTCTCTTGCTCCATCAGGGATTCTCTGTTGTGTTCCCTGTCAGGTCAGTCATTGGTGGTAGCCGGGTACTGTCTAGTTCTTCTGGTCTCAGGCCGATGGAGTCTCTGGTTTATGTGACCCTTTCTGTCTCTTGGGCTAATATTTTCCTGGTGTCTTTGGTCTTCTTCATTCTCCTTTGCTCCAGGTAGGTTGGGGCCAGTTTTGCTGTAGGTTTTATTTTGTTTTATGGGCAAGAAAATTGAGAAAAGCAATGCAAATTATCTAAGGATTAAGGAATACACTAATACAGTGGCTTTCAACTAGAGACATTTGGCAATGCCTAGAGATATTTTTTATTATGTAACCTACTGGCATCTAGTGGGTAGAGGTTAGGGATGCTGCTAAACATCCTAGAATACACAGGACTATCCCCTACAACAAAAATCTGGTCCAAAATGTCAGTAGTGCTGCTCTTGAAAAACCTTGCATTAATAGGATTTTTAGACTTCTTAAATACTGAAATGATTCAGAGCAAATTTGCAATTTAAGCTTAAGACCAAGCTAGATGCAAATTTGAGTTGTAGAACTATAGAATCTGGAGCTGACAGGGAAAGGCATTTAGTCCAGCTTCCCCATTTTCTAGATAACTTAGTCACATAGGAAAAAAAGGACCTGAAGCAATATAACTCCTCCACTTCCTAAATTTGTGATCAAGCAACTTGCCCAATCTGTCTGTGCCTGTTTCCTCATCTGTCAAAAGAATAATACTTACCTCAAATGATTGCTATGAGAACTAATTTAAAATAATAAGTAAAATGTTTAGCACAATACCTGACCATAGTGAGTTGCTGATAGTGGTGGTGAGGGCAAGATGGTGATTATCGTTACTGGTGTTTCTTAAGGTCACAGGGCTATTCACAGCTTGTTTAATCCAGTTCCCTGGATCCTCAGTCCTGTTTTCTTTCTGTTTACTGCCTTGAGGATCTGTGTCGAAGATTATAGGGGCAATTTAATGGAGATTAAAGGGAGCAGCTTCCAGAAACCAAAACCAAACCCATTGTCGTGGAGTTGAATTCTGACTCATAGCAACCATATAGAACAGAGAACTGCCCCATAGGGTTTCCAAGGCTGTAATCTCTACTAAAGCAGACTGCCACATCTTTCTCCCGCAGAGCAGTTGGTGGGTTTGAACTGCCAACATTTTGTTTAGCAGGTGAATGCTTCACCACTGCGCCACCAGGATAATTCAAGAGCATGAGGAGAGTCTAAACAAAAGCTCTCCATAAAAGAGAAAAAGGGGATTTGAATCGCAAGCAGAGAGCTTTAAGGAAGACATAAGATTGGCTTCCATGTGGAACAGGCTGCCTGCCCTCTCTCTTCCCAGAGTTCTTTGAATGGTATTCCAGGCAGTCACGCCTCCAGGGAGGGTGGAGCTTAGACCAGATGACCTCTTCAGACCCCTTGCAGTCCTGACCATGTTCACACAGAGGCAGGAAGTCTGTCAAGGAGAGTCCCTGAAATAATGGGATGATTAAAGTGTTTATCTGGGGACCCTTCCAACTCTTGAGGTTCTCTGATGTCTGATAAGTTTTGTGGACCTTATGTTGGAAAGATCATGTGACACTGTATATCATGCCAGATAGGCATGTGGAGACAACTACAAACCTCTTGTTTTTGGTTTATGAAGTCAAGAATGTTTTATTAAGTTTTACTAATTTGGTCAACATGGGCATATGATTAAGATGTTGTGCAAAATGTTTTTTCTTTCTGAAAATAATAAGTTTTCTTACCAATGGTTCTGTGAAATAAGTTTCCTTTCATGTTCTTAAAAGACGTAGAAGAATTCTTTGCAGCTGCTCTATGAATTGAATCTTTATTTATCTTGTTAGGTTAGTCAGCTAAATTGTTTTTTACCGATGGCTTTCTATAAAAATTCCAAAACCAAACCAAACCCATCACTGTTGAGTTGATTCCAACTCGTAGCAACCCAGTAGAACTGCCCATAGGGTTTCCAAGACTGTAAATCTTTATGGAAGCAGACTGCCACATCTTTCTCCCCTGGAGCAGACTGATGGGTTTGAACTGCCGACCTTCCAGTTAGCAGCTGAGTGCTTTAACCACTGTAGCAGGAAGGCTTCTCCTATAAAAATTAGCAGAACTTACAAGCATTAAAACTCATTTGTATTACAAGCATAGATTAAAACCCTGAGGGAAAATCTCATTCATTTGGTAGCCTTCTCTCAAATTTCTCATTTGTTGTATTGAACCCCTAAAATGATCCTACATCCCACAAAAATATTCTATGAAATTAGTATTTTAAAGACATTTTCTCCTACATCTTACATGTCGGTGCTCCAGCTATTTTAAAAATCATTTAAAAAAAATCATTAAGAACAACTTGGTACATGAAAGAAAGCCTATTGAATCTTAGTTGATTTTATCTGTTTGCTGGGTATTTGTCTGACATTCAAGATCCCCAAAGCAGTTGGAGAACAGCAACACAAGTCCTATCAATGAGTGCTGACTGAGCACCAGGCACTGTGCTGGGCACCTCCCACCAACCAGGGAGGCCGCCAAGGCACACAGAAGCTAACTGATTTAACCCAAGTCACACAGTATGTAAGTGGAAGAGCCAAGATGACCCAAGGAATAATTCAAGACTTACAATAATTTTAAAAACTCTCTAAGATCTGACTGTTCTTAATGCAAAATGCCTCGTGTAGATTGGTATTCTGTACTTTAATTTGACCTTCACCTTTTTTTTTTTTAAGGTGTTGTGTAACGGACCAGGAACATGTGTTCCTATCTGTTTATCTGCCCTTCTCCTTGGGATACTAGGAATAAAGAAAGTGATCATTGTCTACGTTGAAAGTGTCTGCCGAGTGGAAACTTTATCCCTGTCCGGAAAGATTCTGTATTACCTCTCGGATTACTTCGTTGTTCAATGGCCAACTCTTAAGGAAAAGTATCCCAAATCTGTGTACTTTGGACGAATTGTTTGACAAACAACAACTTACTTCTTTAGAATTTTGCAGTCAACAATAATATTTATTATAACTGAAAAAAAAAAAAAAAACCCTGCATGTTTAATGAATAGGCTCCTGAAAGTCCTGAGAATTATTGGTGATGAGGAGTGAAATGTGCACAGATACCACACTGACGAGACTGAGATTTCTCTTATAAAAACAAACATCAATAAACAGTAACCATTAAATACTTATGCCTCTTGTGTGGTAATGAATTATCTTACCTAAAATAAGTTGGCCTTTATGGGGTTTTTTTGGAACATTTTATTGTGGTCCAGGTAAAAGTTTACAGAGCTGGCCTTTGTTCTTGATTCCTAAGAGATAATCCTTGGAATTTCTTGAGGAGTTGAAGCAACTTCATTATCTAAAACCACCAGTTAACACTTGAGAATTTGTGCATATGAGTGGGGGCTACACCTGGTCTGCAACATCAGAAAGGGAGGCGGAGCATGTTTTTATCAATCATGTATATTCAATGATACCCTAATCATGACTATGCAATGAAGCCAATAAAAGACCCTGAGCATGGAAGTAGCTGGGGTTTCCTGGATGGTGAGAACATCTGCTCTCAGGAGAGTCATACATCCCTGGTGACAATAGAAGCACTGCACTGGGACATCTCCCAGACATCTCCCTATGCATCTTTTCATTTGCATCCTTTCTGGTTATAATAAATCAGTAGCTATAATATAGATACTTTCTGTGAATTCTGTGTATCATTCCAGGGAATTATTGAACCCACAGGAGCCATAAGAGCCAACCGAGGTTGGCATCTGCTTATTTGGTGGCTAAAGGACTGTGTCCTTTCAATGTGTGCTCTGACCTAGCCCTGGGTGGCTAGGGATGGGAGACAGAAAGGGCCAGCTGGTCTGAAGTAGAGGGAACCTTGTGGACTCCCGAGCTTACGGCTGGTGCCTGTTAACCTGGCCCTGCGTGGCTGGAGATAACAGTGAGTGCCACTTGGAGTGGCTGACAACAAGGACGGAGAAGTGGGAAAGTAAGGACTGAATCCATTTACAGGTGTAAATTGGATTCATGCTGATCCTTAAACCACGCAGTTAGCAATGAAGGTGGAATATGCCCACTATGCCCCTTGTTTAGTGCAGTTAGCAATAAGGATGGGATTCCTTGGAACGACCCTAATTCATAGAGATACAGGGTTTTGGAGGAGACAGGATAAACAGGCAGGGAATGAGAAGTGTTTCATTCTTGGATGTTTACTTTGGTAATTGTTGTCTGTAACGGCTAAAACGAAAGTAAGAGATGAGCCAAGTTTGGATTCTGGCCAGTCCAGATTGGCACCTTTAGCCTTGGGACCCCTACTGAAGGAATGTGTTGGGAGGATTTTGAGGTGGGGCTAAATTTAGATTCTGGCCAGCATGAGGCACAGCCATCAGCCTTGGAGTTATTTTCAGCAGGAAGTGTTGTGCTGAAGCAGTAGGTAGCAAAACTGATTCCCAAAAAGACAGAGAGGAAAGAGAAGCCCCACATGTAATGGCTCAGGGCAAGTGCCCAGTAAGTCAATCAAGATGGTTGACAAGGGGCCAGAGTCTTCTGGTACCCACCCAAGCCAAGTACCTAAGACCATATACATATGAATTACTAAAATGGTCAGGGAGTAAGAAAAAGAAATTTAGATGAAAACTGGAATGTTTAAACGGGATTTATGTAATATGGTTGTGTTTATCGGAATATATTGTGAAAGGAATATTGTCTCTAAATAGGGAATGTTTTCCTGACTATTGGTATGTGAAAACAAAAGGTATATAGTCCTGCCCTTAGGCCAGCTTTGAATGGGCATACTAAATTGGAACTAAAATTGCTCAGGCTGATACAGATGGTTACAATAGTCCTGTGCAGAGGGTCAATTGCAGCTTACGCCAAAAACCTGTGAGCCCCACAGGATCTTTTCCCCTTTTTTACTGGAGTACAGCAAAATCTCTTTTGGACTGGGGAACAGAGTTCTTGGTATCCACACATGTCCAGGAGGACAGTCATTGCAAAACTAGTTAGAGGAGGTCACTAAACAGATGGACTATTACAACCTTCAATGTATGTATGTATGTATACATGTATATACATATTTCCAACCCTAGGGAAGGGGAGAAATCTGAGGCTCATAACTAACGCATTATAATATTTCAGTCTCCCATTTCCAACAAAAAAACCACCAAGAATACAAAGAAATAAGAAAGAATTGCCCTTTCAAATGAACAAATTAGAGACAGAAATTGTCACTATGGAAGCTCAGAAAATGGACAAACTAGAGGACTTTAAAGCAATAGTATTAAATACACTCAAAGAACTAAAGGAAATCATGATGAAGACTAAAGGAAATAAGGAAAACAACACATGAACAAAATGAGGATGTCAATAAAGAGACAGATACTGTAAAAAGGAACCAAACAAATACTGGGACTGAAAAATACAATAACTGAAACAGAAACTTCACTGGAGGGATTCAACAGCAGATTTGAGCTGGCAGAAAAAAAGAATCAGTGAACTAGAGGGTAAGGCAATCAAAATTATTAAATCTGAAAAGCAAACAAAAAATGATCAAGAAATCTGAGCAAAGACTGATGGAATTGTAGGACACCACCAAGTGAACTAACACCCACATCATGGAAATCCCAGAAGGAGTAGTGAAAGAGAAAGGGAAAGACAGAATTTTTGAAGAAATAATGGCAGAAAACTTTCCAAATTGAGCAAAGAACATGAATGTACAAATCTAAGAAGTTCAACAAACTCCAGGTATGATAAACCCAAAGAGATCTATCTATACCAAGATACATTATAATCAAGCTCTTGAAACCCCAAGATAAAGAGAAAATCCTGAAAGAAGCAAGAGAGAAGCAAATTGTCACATACAAAAGATCCTTAGTGTCTTAGTCATCTAGTGCTGCTATAACAGAAATACCACAAGTAGATGGCTTTAACAAACAAATTTATTCTCTCACAGTCTAGGAGGCTAGAATTCCAAAATCGGTGTCAGCTCCAGGGGAAGGCTTTCTCGCTCTGTCAGCTCTGGGGGAGGGTCTTTGTCATCAATCTTCCCCAGTCAAGGAGCTTCTTAGCGCAGGAACCCTGGGTCCAAAGGATGCACTATACTCCTGGCTCTTGTTTCTTGGTGGTATGAGTTTCCCATGTCTTTCTGCTTGCTTCTGTCTTTTATATTTCAAAAGAGATCGACTTAAGACACAGCCTAATCTTGTAGATTGAGCCCTACCTCATTAACATAACTGTTGCTAATCCCACCTCATAGATGTAGGATTTAAAACACATAGGAAAATCACATCAGATGACAGAATGGTGGACAATCACACAATACTGGGAATAATGGACTAGCTAAATTGAATACAATTTTTGGGGGGACATAAGTCAATCCATAACACTTAATAAGATTAACTACCAATTTTTCCTCAGAATCCTTAGAGGCCAAAAGGCAGTGGAATGACGTATTTAAAGTTCTGAAAGAAAAAAACCTGTCAACCAAGAATTCTGTATCTGGCAAAAGGGTCCGTGAAGAATGAGGGCAAAATTTCAGATGGCTTCACTGGAGAATTCTACCAAACTTTCAGAGAAGAGTTAACACCACTACTACTAAAGGTATTTCAGAGCATAGAAAAGGATGGGATACTCCCAAAGTCATTCTATCAAGCCAGCATAACCCTGATACCAAAGCCAGGAAAAGACACCACAAAAAAAGAAAAATTACAGACCAATATCCCTCATGAACATTGACACAGAAATCCTCAACAAAATTCTAGCCAATAGAATTCAGCAACATATCACAAAAATAATTCATCATGATCAAGTGGGATTTATACCAGGTATGCAGGGATGGTTCAACATTAGAAAAACAATCAGTGTAATCCATCACATAAATAAAACTGAAGAACCACGTGATCTTATCAATTGATGCAGAAAAGGCATTTGACAAAGTCCAACATCCATTCATGATAAAAACTCTCAACAAAATAGGAATAGAAGGGAAATTCCTCAGTATAATTAAGGGCATTTATACAAAGCCAATAGCCAACATCATCCTGAATGGAGAGACTTTGAAAGCATTCCCCTTGAGAATGGGAACCAGACAAGGATGCCCTTTATCACCACTCTTATTCCACATTGTGCTGGAGGTCCTAGCCACAGCAGCTAGGCTAGAAAAAGAAATAAAGGGCATCCAAATTGGTAGGGAAGAAGTCAAAGTATCTCTGTTTGCAGATAATATGATCTTATACAAAGAAAACCCCAAAGAATCCACAAGAAAACTACTGGAACTAATAGAAGATTTCAGCAAAGT